AATTAATGAGCTCTCGTGCCAGGCACGAGGCTGGCAGTGCAAGCCACGCCCCTGGTACACCCAGCCCCGCCCCTCCCCTGTCAATCACTGATGTCCCGCCCCTACACAAACCCCGCCCATCACATAACAAGCCTGTGAGACCCCGCCCCTTGTCCGAGGCCCCGCCCCTCAGCGGGTTCGAGTTTCATGATGGGGCAGGGGCGGGGCGATCTCCGGACTGACGGCAGCCCTGACCAATGGGGAGCGCCGGGGTGGGACTCGGAGCTGCACTGGCCAATGGGAAGCGGGGGCCGGGCAGCGCAGCCAATGAGGGTCTGGAGCAGGTGGTGGGCGGGGCCCGCGGGAGCAGCGGGCCCGTGAGGGGAAAAGGCGGCGGGAGCGGGAGAGAGGTGAGGGGGAATCGGGATATCGCGATAGACACCGCGATAGACAGCGGGGTACCGGGATAGAGACCGGGATAGACAGCCGAGATCGGGACAAAGGCCGGGATAGACAGCGGGACATCGAGATAGAGACCGGGATAGAGACCGGGATATCGGGATAGAGACCGGGATAGACAGCGGGGTACCGGGATAGAGACCGGGATAGAGACCGGGATATCGGGATAGAGACTGGGATAGACAGCGGAGATCGGGACAAGGGCCGGGATAGACAGCGGGACATCGAGATAGAGACCGGGATATCGGGATCACACCGGGATAGACACCAGGATATCGCAATAGACACCGCGATAGACAGCGGGGTACCGGGATAGAGACCGGGATAGAGACCGGGATATCGGGATAGAGACCGGGATAGACAGCGGGGTATCGGGACAGAGGCCGGGATAGACACCGGGACATCGAGATAGCCACCGGCATACATACCGGGATATCGGGATAGACACCGGGACCAACACCGGGACATCGAGATAGCCACCGGCATACATACCGGGATATCGGGATAGATACCGGGACCCACACCGGGATATCGGGATAGCGGGTACCGGGGAAAGCCGGGGAGCGGAACTCCAGCACTCCGGGACATCAGGATACCGGAGTGCAGGGAGCGGGGCTGGAGAATGGTGGGCGGGATACGGGGTACGGGGGTACGGGGGTGCTGGGGCACCGGGGGACGGGAGAGCGGTGAGCCGCGGGAGCGGGCCCGGGGGTCGCCAGGGAAGCAGAGCGGGAGGGGGTGACCGGGGGCACCGGGGAGGGAGCGGAGGGACCGAGGGGGACCGTGGGGACCGGGGGGCAGAGGGCGTGATGAGCGGCGGGAGCGGGCCCGGGGGGCTCCGGAGGCACCGGGGGTCCCGTGCCCCGCTGGGCGGCTGGGGTGGGGACGGGTCTGGGGTCTCCTCCCCCCACCCCCGGGGGTGTCACCCGCTCCCCCGTGGGGGCGGGGCCTGGGAAGGGAGCGGGCGTTGCCATGGGAGTGAGTGGGGGCGTGGTCTTCGAGGGGCGTGGCCTGGATGTGTGATAGGACATAAGGGGCGTGTCCCCTTAGTGGTCGTGGCCTCTGAAAGGGCGCGGTGCTGGCGTTACCATAGCGACAGAGGGCGCGCGGGGTTGCCATGGGGACGGGCGCGGCCTCTGGGAGGGGGGGCGTGGTCAGTTGCCATGGTGATGCGGGCGCGGCTAAAGAAAGGGGCGGTACCGGCGAGCCGTTGCCGTGGTGATGGGGGCGTGTCCTGATGAAAGGGGCGTGGCCAAGCAGGGCGTGGTCCTGGGGAAGGGAAGTGGGGCGCTCCGGGATGGATTTGGGGGGGCCCGGGGGGGCGTGGCCGGGCCAGGCCCGACCCTCCCCCATTCCCGGGGGTTCGGGAACAAAGCCGGGGACACGGGCGGTACCGGGACACCGGGGGGGGGGACACGGGAGGGGACAGCGGGGGGGGCGATGTCCCCCGGGGGTCCCGGCTGGGGCTGGGACCCCCCGTTCCAGCTGTGGGTGCAGGCGCTGCTCTGGGCGCTGCTTTTGGGGCGCCTCCTCCGCTACGGGGGGGGCCAGGGCCGGGGGGAACCCCCCCGGGAGCAGCCCGGGCCGGGGGACCCCCAAAACCGGGGAGGGACCCCCCCAGAGTGAGCCCTGATTGGGGATGGGGGGACAGAGGGACACCCCCAAGGTCCCTCCTTGTCCCCCCGAGCCGTTTGGGGGGTCCCTGCCGGGGGGTTGCTCCTGCCTCAGTTTCCCCGATGGGGGGGGGGTCACTGGTCCGACTGGGCCGTACTGGGAGGCCCCGGGGACAAAGTCTGAGCCCCCCGAGGACAGCGCCCGGCGACAGCTCCGGACACGGTGAGGGGGGGCCGGGGGATGTGGGGTGGCCTCGGTCCCTTTTGGGGTCCCCCTTGTCCCCTCCCGCTCTTCGGGGTCCCTCTGAGGGTCCCCAGTCTGCTGGGGGGGGGCTCTGTGTTTTGGGGTGTCCCACGTCCCCTGGAGCAGTTCCGTGTCCCTTTGGGGTGTCCCCTGTCCCCTCTGGGGTGTCCCCTGTCCTTTGGGGACACTCCCACATCCCCCCCGTCCCCTCGATGTCCCCAAGGTCCCCACTCCGGTGCTGTCCCTGTCCCCCCCGGTGGTTTTGGGGTCCCCACAGTCCCCAAAGCTCGGGGCACGGGGTCCCTCGGCTGGGGACAGGGGGGACACAGGGACAGAGGGGACAGTGGGGACACTTTGCCATGAGGGTGCTGGAGAGGCAGAAGGGGGACACGGGGGGACATCAGAGACACAACTGGGGACATCAGGGACACAGGGGGGACACGGGGGGACAACCCCAGCACAGGGAGGTGACAGAGGAGGGGGCCTGGGGAATGCAGGGGTGGGGGGACACTGGTGACATCGGGTCTGGGGACATTGGTGTCCCCAGCGTGTCCCCAGGGTGTCCCCAGGGTGGGGACACGTGGTGGTGTCCTTGGCCTCGAGGGGACATTGCTGTCCCCAGCGCGGGGGGCTCTGGTGGCACCTCGGTGTCCCCACCGCTGGGGTGTCCCCAGGCACAGGGAGGTGACCAGGATGTCCCCAGGATGGTGGCAGTGTCCCCAGGGGTGTTCGTGTCCCCGTCCCCAGGTGTGTCCTTGTCCCCAGGTGTGTGACAGGCTGTCCCAGGTGTGACAATGTCCCTGTCCCCAGGTGTCCCCAGATGTCACACAGGTGTCCCCAGATGTCCCCCAGGTATCACACAGATGTCCCCAGGTGTCTCCAGATGTCCCCAGGTGTCACACAGATGTCCCCAGGTGTCCCCAGATGTCCCCAGGTGTCACACAGGTGTCCCCAGGTGTCCCCAGATGTCCCCAGGTATCACACAGATGTCCCCAGATGTCCCCAGGTGTCACACAGGTGTCCCCAGGTGTCCCCAGATGTCCCCAGGTATCACACAGATGTCCCCAGATGTCCCCCAGGTGTCCCACAGGTGTCCCCAGGTGTCACACAGATGTCCCCAGATGTCCCCAGGTGTCACACAGGTGTCCCCAGGTGTCCCACAGGTGTCCCTGTCCCCAGGTGCTGCAGCCAGAGCTGGGACCTTCCCCTTCCTCACACACCTCCGGTGGCCCGCCAGGGTGTGTCCCCGTTGTCCCCAAGTGTCCCCATTGTCCCCAGGGCCTCCAGTGGCCCTCCAAGCTTTGTCCCCATTGTCCCCAGGTGTCCCCTCTCCCCCCAGGATGGTCCCCAGGGCCATCCCTGTCCCCCTCAGTGTGTCACCCCTGCCGGGCTGTCCCCAAGGTGTCCCTTGGGGTGTCCCCAAAGTGTCCCCTGCCCCTCCAGAGGGTCCCCGAGGTGTCCCCTGTCCCCTTCGGGTGTCCCAGGGGGGTCCTGGGGGTTCCTTGGGGACTTTGGGGGTCTCTGGGGGGTTTTGGGGGTCCCCGGGGGGGATTTGGGGAGGTTTTGGGGGATTTTGAGGATTTCTCTGCCCCTCAGATCCTGCTGAGCTTCGAGGACCTGCCAGGACCTGAGCCCAGAGCACCGGGGGGCCCCCGAAACGCACAGCTGGGCCCCAAAACTGCACAGCTGGACCCCAAAACTGCACAGCTGGGCCCCAAACTGCACAGCTGGACCCCAAAACTGCACAGCTGGGCCCCAAAATGCACAGCTGGACCCCAAAATATACATCTGGACCCCAAACTGCACAGCTGGGCCCCAAAATGAACAGCTGGGCCCCAAAATCCTATAAAGCACCCCATAAAGCCTGAACCCCCAGACCTGGAGATACCCAAAGTACACCTGAACCCCGGGGAGTCTGGGGGGTCCCAGGGCTGGGATCCCCGGTTTTAACACCCCCAGGTGAAAGCCCCCCCATATGTCCCCAAATGGCGGTCCCCAAAACCGGGGGGTCCCCAAAAACCCCTGGAGGGGGGCCCAGCCCCCCAAGGCTTCATTGTAAACCAGTTTGGGACGAATCAATAAAATTTGGGAGAAAAATCGGGTTTGAAATGTTGGGGTGCTCCCAAAGTGGGGGTTCCCATGGGTCTGGGGGGCACCCCGAGGGTTTGGGGTGTCCGTGACTTTGGGGGTCCCTGGAATTGGTGTGACCCGTGGGTTTGGGGAGGCTCCATGGCTTTAGGGGGCTCCGTTGGTTTGGGGTGACCCCACAGATTTGGGGGGAATCCATGTGTTTGAGGGGGCTCCATGGGATCGGGGTGATCTCATGTGTTTGGGGGGACCCTGTGGCTTTGGGGGGGCCCCATGGGCTCAGGGGGTCCTTGCAACTGGGGGTCCCTATTTTGGGGGGGCCAGTGGATCCCAGCGGTGGGCGTGGCCTCCAGCAAGGGGCGTGGTTCAAACCGATGGGCGTGGCCTTTCCTAACTGGGCGTGGTTTAAACAGATGGGCGTGTCCTAATGCCGTGGAGGCGGGGCCGCTGGACATGGGCGTGGCTTCCAGCTGGATGGGCGTGGCTTAATCACCGTTTGTGGGCGTGGTTTTCCGTGGGCGCGGCCGCGCGGTGCGGCTCCACCCCGAGGCGCGCGCGCGGCGGCCGCGGCTCCTCCTCCGAGCGGGCGCGCGCGGGCGGGGCGGGGGCGGAGGAGGAGGAGGAGGAGGAGGAGGAGGAAGGGGCGCGGGAGGGGGGGGCCGGCGGTGCCGCGGGGGGGGCCATGGCGGTGCCGCCGCCGCCGCCGCCGGGCCCCGAGCAGGCCCCGCGGTACCAGGAGTGGATCCTGGACACCATCGACTCGCTGCGTTCGCGCAAGGCGCGGCCGGACCTGGAGCGCATCTGCCGCATGGTGCGGCGGCGGCACGGCCCCGAGCCCGAGCGCACCCGTGCCGAGCTGGAGAAGCTGATCCAGCAGCGCGCCGTGCTCCGCGTCTCCTACAAGGGCAGCATCTCGTACCGCAACGCCGCCCGCGTGCAGCCGCCGCGCCGCCCGCCGCCGCCACTGGGGAGGGGCCCGGGGGTCGTGAGGGGGAGCGCGGGAAGGGTCGAGACATGAGGGGAAGAGGCGGGTCCGTGCACAGGGGATGGTGTCGCGACCCTGAGGGGTGCGAGGAGCGGAGGGGCCCGGGGGTCGTGAGGGGGCACCGAGCGCTGAGAGGAACGGGGGGCACGGGAAAGGTTCGGGGGTCGTGAGGGGGCACCCGGGAGGCCTGAGGGGATCCTGAGGGTGTGAGGAGAGTGTGGGAAGCGGCGGAGACATCGGGGGCCCGGGGGTCGTGAGGGGCCCCGGGGGAACGGGGGGGTCCTGAGGGGACACTGGGGAAGGGGCCGGGGGTCGTGAGAAGGGGCCATGAAGGGTTCGAGGGTCGTGAGGGGGAGCCGAGAGGTCTGAGGGGAACCTGAGGGCATGGAGGGGACTGGGGGCTGCTGGGAGGGTGACCCTGAGGGGTCTGGGGGTGAGGTGGTGGAAATTTGGGGGTGTCTGAGGGGGCCGGGGGGCTCTGGAGGGACCGGGGATAGGAGGGCTGAGGGGGACAGCGGTGGTGAGGGGGCGCTGGGGACATGAGGGGACCCCTGAAGGGTTGGTGGGACAGGGGAGGACACAAGGTGGAGGGGACACAGAGAAGGGGACTTGGGGAAGGACCCTGAGGGGATTTAGGCGTCCCCTGAGGGAACTGAGGCAGCTGAGGGGATCTGGGGGCCTGAGAGGGTTGGGGACATCCTTTAGGGGACCTCTGAGGGGCTGGGGGACCTGAGGGGACAGCAGAGATCTCAAGGGGATGTTGGAGACCCCCAGGAGGACTTGGGTGACCTGGAGAAGGGGGGACAGGGAGTGGGGGTCTTTATGGGACCTGAGGGGGTTTTGGGGTCACCAGAGCCAGGGCTGGATGAGGCTGGGGACTGGGAGGTTGGGGGAACCCCAGGACAAGCTGAGGAACCCCAGTGACAATGCTGGGTGACAGCTCTGGGGGAGGGGGTGCAGAATTGGGGGATCCTGGGTTTGGGGGGCCCTGCAGGACTTGGTGGGGGGGTGTTCATTTTTGGGGGTGTCCTGGATTTGGGGGGGCAGTGTCACACTGTGGGAGGGTCAAGGAGCAGCTTTGGAGCCCCTGTTTTGGTGGGGGCTGTCGATTTTGGTGTCAGGGCTATCCATTTTTGGGGGCTGTAGATTGTCGGGGGGGTCCCAGCTGCGGGGGTTCTCTGTGGGGTGATGCTCACGCTGTACTTTTGGGGCCCCCCAGCCCCCCTGCAGCAGCAGCGAGGCCTCGGCGCGGGAGGAGGAGGAGGAGGAGGAAGATGAGGACGAGGAAGACGAGGACGGGACCGGCTCGGAGGCCTCGGAGGACGCGGGGCCCCCCCGGCAGCTGAACGGGGAGGGCCGGGGGGGGCCCCCCCTGCGCCCCCCGGGGCAGCCGCCCCCCGAGCGGCCCCCCCAACCCAAGGCCTGCGCCCCGGGGGAGGGGGGCTGCCAGCACATGGCCCCCCTCAAAAAGGAGGGGGCCTTCGGGCAGCCCGACAGAGCAGGTACTGAGGGGAGAGGGTGGTTTTGGGGGGCAGGGGGGTTTGGGGGTGATGGGGGCAGTTTGGGGGTAGGGGTGTGTAAGTTTGGGGGTGCCAGGGGGCAGTTCAGGGGTGGGCATTGCTGTGGGGTCAGTCGGTGCTGGGGGTCACTCTGCGGTCACTCTGGGGGTGTGCTCACTCGGGCTGTCCCAGGGTGACCCGTTGGTGTCCCCGCAGTGTCCCCGGCGCTGGCGGGGGCTGAGCCCTCGGTGCCGCTGTCCCCGGGCAGGCCGGGCCCCCAGGCTGCCGAGGGGGCCCCGTTCAGCTGCACGTGAGTCAGGGGCCGGTGTCCCCTTGTCCCTGTGTGTCACCTGTGTGCCACCCAGCGTCCCTTGTGGCCCCCTGTGTCACCCATGTCCCACCCAGCGTCCCTCTGTGTCCCACTCAGTGTCCCACTGTCCCATCACCATTGTCTCCATGTCCCCCTGGATGTCCCCTGTCCCTGTGTCCCTATGTCACCCCTCTGTTGCTGTGACCGTGTCCCCACAGTGTCCCCTGTCCCAGTGACTGTGTTCTGGTGTCCCCCTGCCCTCCCAGTGTCCCAATGGCCATGTCTGTGTGTCCCCACGGCGTCCCCATGATGCTGTCCCTGTGTCCCAGTGTCCAGGTCCACACAGTGGCCCCGTGACACTGTCCCCGTGTCCCAGTGACCGTGTCTGTGTGTCCCTATGGTGTCCCATCATGGTGACTGTGTCTCTGTGTCCCCATGGTGTCCCAATGACCGTGTCTGTGTGTCCCTATGGTGTCCCATCATGGTGACTGTGTCTGTGTGTCCCCATGGTGTCCCAATGACCGTGTCTGTGTGTCCCTATGGTGTCCCATCATGGTGACTGTGTCTCTGTGTCCCCATGGTGTCCCTGTGTCCCGGTGGCCGTGTCTCTGTGTCACTGTAGTGTCCCATCATGGTGACTGTGTCTCTGTGTCCCCATGGTGTCCCTGTGTCCCGGTGGCCGTGTCTCTGTGTCACTGTAGTGTCCCATCATGGTGACTGTGTCTGTGTGTCCCCATGGTGTCCCAGTGGCCGTGTCTGTGTGTCCCCATGACGCTGTCCCCGTGACGCTGTCCCCGTGTCCCAGTGACCATGTCTCTGTGTCCCCCCGCTGTCCCCGTGACGCTGTCCCCTGTCCCCAGGGCCGGGCGCAAGGACAAGGCCGTGGACCCGGTGGAGTGGTCGGTGCGGGACGTGGTCGAGTACTTCACCGAGGCTGGCTTCCCCGAGCAGGCCGGGGCCTTCCAGGAGCAGGTGGGGCCAGCCCTGTCCCCTCTGTCCCCAAGTGTCCCCAGGTGTCCCCAGGGCTCCCTCTGTCACCGCGGGTGTCCCCAAGAATGGTCCCCTCCCTGCAGAATTGCTCTGTGGCCAGCACTGCCCCCTCCCACTGGCCTGCAGGTGTCCCTAGGGTGTCCCCTCTGTCCCTGAGGGTGTCCCCCAGGTGTCCCTGCTGTCCCTGACAGTGTCCCCAAAGTGTCCCCCATATTTTCCCCATAGGGGTCCCCACTCCTCCCCATTGCACCTACCCCCATCCCCCAGGGTCACCCTGGGTGTCCCAGCTGTCCCTGTGTCCCCCTTGTCCCTGGGGTGTCCCCACTGTCCCTGTGTCCCCCCTGTCCCTGGGGTGTCCCCGCTGTCCCTGTGTCCCCCTTGTCCCTGGGGTGTCCCCACTGTCCCTGTGTCCCTTTGTCCCTGCAGGTGTCCCCAGATGCCATTACCCCCACAGATACCCCACCCTCCTCCATCCCCTGGCTGTCCCTGTGACTGTCCCTCACTGTCCCCTGTCCCTATGGCTGTCCCCGTGTCCCTCCCTGTCCCCGTGTCCCTCCCTGTCCCCAGTGTCCCTCACTGTCCCCGTGTCCCTCCCTGTCCCTGTGTCCCTCACTGTCCCCTGTCCCTATGGCTGTCCCCGTGTCCCTCCCTGTCCCCGTGTCCCTCCCTGTCCCCAGTGTCCCTCACTGCCCCGTGTCCCCAGGAGATCGACGGCAAGTCGCTGCTGCTGATGCAGAGGGCCGATGTGCTCACGGGGCTCTGTCCCTGGGTGTCCCCTGTCCCCGTGACTGTCCCCTGTCCCCATGGCTGTCCCCGTGTCACTGTCCCGTGTCCCTCACTGCCCCGTGTCCCCAGGAGATCGACGGCAAGTCGCTGCTGCTGATGCAGAGGGCCGATGTGCTCACGGGGCTCTCCATCCGCCTGGGCCCCGCGCTCAAGATCTACGAGTACCACGTGAAGCTGCTGCAGCGCAGCCACTTCCAGGACGAGGAGCCCCCCCCGGAGCCCTTCCCGGCCTGAGAGACCCCCCCGGACCCGCGGGGACCCCCCCGGACCTGTGGGGACACCCCCAGACCCGCGGGGACACCCCCAGACCCGCGGGGACACCCCGGTATCCGGGAGGGCTCCTCCCTCCCCCCGCTGCTGCACACAGAGACTTTGGGGGGTGGCTGGGGGGTCCCACCCCTTTTTGGGGGATCCCACCTCTCTTTGGGACCGTCTTATCCCTATTTAAGGGGGTCTTGCCTCTCTTTAGGGTCCCACCTCTAACTTGGGGGGGTCTTGCTCTCATTTGAGGGGTCCCACCTCGCTTTGAGGGGGTCTCATCTCTGTTTTGGGGGGGTCCCATCTCTCTTTGGGGGTCCCACCCCTCTTTGAGGGGTCTCTCTTTTGGGGGGACAACCCTCTTTTGGGGGGATCTCACCCTTCATTTGGGGGGGCTTCTCTTTGGGGGGGTAATTTCTCCTTTGGGGGGTCCCACCCCTCTTTTGGGGGGCTTCTCCTTGGAGACCCCTCTTTCAGGGGGGGTCACTTCTCTTTAGAGGGGTCCTCCCCTCTCTTTTGGGGGGGTCACCCCTCTCTTTTGGGGGTCTCCTCTCTCTGGGGAGCACTGGGAGTGGGGACACCCCGCTCCTTGTGGGGTCACCCCTCTTTTGGGGGGTCCCTCTGGGGGCGGGGTCACCCCTCCTTGAGGGAGCCCCCTTTTTAGGGGATCCAAACCCCCCGCAGTCTGTGCCCCCCCCTTCCCCGGGCCTGGCTCGTTTTGGGTTTTTTTAAATAAAAACGGAAAAATGAAATAAAATCAACACAAGATCTCGGGGTTTGGGGTTTTTGGAGGGGTCCCCCATTTCGGGGGGAGCTCCCGCCTTAGAGCCCCCACAAAAGGGGTTGGGGTGGAATGGGGGGGGCCCAAGGGGGGCATTTGGGGACCCCCAGTGAGGGGAGGGTGCTGCGCATGCGCTGAACTTCCCGTCCGACAGGGGGAGCCAGGCACCGCAGGGAGCCGCTCCCGCGCTGTCTCGCGCCCTCCTCTGCGCATGCGCCCTTTCGCAGCTGCAGCTGCCACGCCCCCTACGGCGGCCGGCAGGGCCCAAAAGCCGCGCTCCATAAACAAACCTCAAAAACGGCCTCAGCTCCCAAAAACAACGCCCGAACAGCTTCAGGACCCCCAAACTGCTCCAGAACAGCCGCAGCTCCCCTAAACTGCCCCAAAGAGCCCCAGAACAGGGTCAGGCTTCGTTAAAGGAGCAGTAACTGCCCCCAGACCAGCCCAAACTGCCCCAGAACAGCCTCAGACGCCGCTAAAGCCACAAATGCCCCAATGCTCCCAATGTGTTTCGAGTCGCTCTGAAACATCCGCGGCCCCCAACGGCCCCTCCGACCCACAGGACCCCTAAACAGCTCCCAGCTGCCCCCACATGCCCCTAAGGCCCCATACATGTTTGTACAGGATCGCCCCACTCCGCGTTCCCCTACGGCGGCCGGACAGGCCCAAACGTCGCTCTGTGCACCCCCGCCCTACGGCGGCCGGCGGGGGTCAAACTAGCTCCGCGTCGCTCTTTCCTACGGCGGCCGGAGAGGCCCAAAGTCTGTCTGCTGTGCGCGTGCGCAATGGCCGTTCCCTGGTGAAGATGGCGGCGTCCGTGTTCCCTCTTTCTGTAAGCGGTCAGCGCGGCCAAAAAGCCGCTGTACACTCTCCCCACCCAGTCACCCGCGTTTCTACAGCGGCCAAAGGAACCCAAAACCCCTCCTTGTCCTCTCTTCGGCTCTCCCCCCTCTACAGCAGCGGCTGAGGCACATAACGGCGTCCTGTCATCACGCGCATGCGTTATAACGGCTCTCGAGACGAAGATGGCGGCGCCCACGGCTTGAGTCCACAACACCGCGCTTCGCGCATGCGTATTACGCGTCCCGTGGGAAGATGGCGGCACCCACCTCTCCAGTCCACAACACTTGCTTGGGCGCATGCGCATTACCCCGACAAGGGCGAACATGGCGGCTCCTATCTCGCCCTCTCTCCCTACGGCAGCCGGGGAGACCCAGAATCCATAACACCGCGCTGCGCGCATGCGCATAACCCTCTCCAGAGGGAAGATGGCGGCGCCCTCCGCTCCCTCCCTCCGTACGGCGGCCGGCGGGGGCTCCAAGCCCCGCCCCTCGCTGGCCCCGCGCATGCGCGACGCGGGGGGGGAAGATGGCGGCGTCCTCGCTGGAGCAGAAGCTGTCGCGGCTGGAGGCGAAGCTGAAGCAGGAAAACCGCGAGGCGCGGCGGAGAATCGACCTCAACCTCGACATCGGCCCCGCCCGCGCCCGCCCCAGTGAGCGGGGCCGGGGGGGCGGGGCTGGGGTGTCCGGGGCAGCTTTGGGGAATTTGGGGAAGGTTTGGGGCAAATTTGGGGCATTCGGGGCAAATTTGGGGTGTCCGGGACACGTTTTGGGGTGTTTGGGGACAGTTTAAGAACATTTTGGGGCAGTTTTGGGTTGTCTGGGGTGTTTGAGGCAGTTTTGGGGTGTTTGGGACAAATTTGGGGTGTCTGGGGCAGTTTAGGAACGTTTCGGGGCAGTTCTGTGTTTTCTGGGGGTTTGGGGGCATTTTTGGGGTGTTCGGGGCAGATTTGGGTCACCTTGGGGCAGTTTTGGGGTGTCTGGGGCAGTTTAGGGACATTTCGGGGCAGTTTAAGGGGTTTAGGAGCATTTTGGGGCAGTTCTGGGTTCTTTGGGGTGCTGGGGGGACTTTTGGGTGTTTAGGAACATTCTGGGGCAGTTTTGGGGTGGTTTAGGGTATTTGGGGCACTTTGGGGCCATTTTGGGGTTGTTTGGGGTGCCCTGTGGGGGATCCGAGGCTGTTTTAGGGTTTTAGGGACAATTTGGGGGCTTTTGGGGGCATTTAGGAACGTTTTGAGGTGTTTGGGGCAATTTAGGGTCATCTTAGGGCAGTTTGAGGCTGTTTTGGGGTATTTGGGGTCATTTTTTGGGGTGTTTGGGGCACTTCAGGGACAGTTTAGGGACATTTTGGGATGTTTGGGGCACTTCAGGGACATTTTGGGGTGGTTTGGGAACATTTTGGGGCACTTTAGGGACATTTTGGGGCAGTTTTGGGGTATTTCAGGGCAGTCCTGGCTGGTTTAGGGGGGCTGGGGGATTTGGGGAGTTGGGAAGGGTTTTTGGGGGTTTTTGGGGGGCTCTGAGGGGGTTGGGAAGGGGATTTTTGGGAGTTTCTGGGAGGTTTTTGGGTTTTTGGGGGGCTCTGAGGGGTTGGGAAGGGGATTTTTGGGAAGTTTTTGGGGTTTTGGGGGGGCTCTGAGGGGCTGGGAAGGGGATTTTTGGGAAGTTTTTGGGGTTTTGGGGGGGCTCTGAGGGGCTGGGAAGGGGATTTTTGGGAAGTTTTTGGGGTTTTGGGGGGGCTCTGAGGGGCTGGGAAGGGGATTTTTGGGAAGTTTTTGGGGTTTTGGGGGGGCTCTGAGGGGCTGGGAAGGGGATTTTTGGGAAGTTTTTGGGGTTTTGGGGGGGCTCTGAGGGGCTGGGAAGGGGATTTTTGGGAAGTTTTTGGGGTTTTGGGGGGGCTCTGAGGGGCTGGGAAGGGGATTTTTGGGAAGTTTTTGGGGTTTTGGGGGGGCTCTGAGGGGCTGGGAAGGGGATTTTTGGGAAGTTTTTGGGGTTTTGGGGGGCCCTGAGGGGTTGGGAAGGGGATTTTTGGGGGTCTCGAGGATCCCCTGCAGGTAGGACCCCCCAGGGACCATTCCCAGCACATTTTTGGGATTTTTTGGGGATTTTCCAGCCCGGGAGGAGCAGCCCCTCCCCCTCCCCCCTTTCAAATTTGTGCTCATTTTTATCCCCCTGATTTAAATCAATCCCCCCAAATTCCAAATTTCCCCCCAAATTCCAAATTCCCCCCAAATTCATTCCTGTCCCCCCCAATTTAATGTGAATTTCCCAATTTAAATTCATTTTTTGCCCCAAAATTTTATTTTCCCCTCTGACTTTCACTCCTGTCCTTCCCAGTTTCACCCCTGTCCCTTCCCCAATTTAATTTCATTTAATTTTAATTTTAATTTGATTTAAATTTCTGTCCCCCCCCAATTTAAACTCATTTTTGTCCCCCCCATTTCATTCCTGTCCCCCCAACTTCAGCTCAATTTCATTTTCCTCCCAATTTAAATTCATTTCCAATTAATGAATTCTGCTCCCCCTGATTAAAGCTCCTCCCCCCACTTTAATTAATTCCCCAATTTAAATCCATTTCTGTTCCTCTCCATTTCAATTCTTTTTTTTCCCCATTTCTGCCCCCAATTTAAATTAATTCCTGCCCCCCTTTTAAATTAATTTCCCCACAATTTAAATTAATTTCTGGGTAAATTTCAGCTTAAATTTATTTCTCCCAATTGAAATTAATTTTTCCTTTCCAATTTAAATTTATTTCTGCCCCCAATTTGAATTTATTCCCCCAATTAAAATTCATTTTTGCCCCAAATTTAAATTATTTCCTCCGATTTAAATCAATTTTTGCCTCCTAATTTAAATTATTTCTCCTAATTTAAATTCATTTCTCCCCCAATTTATTTCCCCCAATTTAAATTCATTTCTGACCCAAATTTCAATTAATTCATCCGACTTAAATTAATTTCCACCCCTAATTTAAGTTCATTTTCCCCAGTTTAAATTAATTTCTGTTTCCCAATTTAAATTAATTCCTGCCATTTAAATTCATTTTCTCTCCCAATTTCAGTTCATTTCCCTAATTTAAATAATTTCTGCCCCCAGTTTCATTAACTCACCCCACCCCTGATCCTTCCCTTTTTAATTTTTTCTCTTTTTCTTTCTTTTTTATTCTTTTTTTAATTTTTTTTTATTATTTTCCCCCCCTTTTTTTATTTTCCCCCGTGCCCCTCCCCCATCTCCAGTCATCCCCCCCCCAATTTTAAATTGGGGGGGGGAATGGGAGAAAATGGGAAAAAAAGAGGAGAATTGGGAAAATGGGGAAAATGGGGGAAAATGAGGGGTATGGGAAAAACGGGGGGAAGTGGGAGGAAATGGGAAAAAATAGGGGAAATTGGGTGGGAAACTGACAAAATGGGGGGAAGTTGGGAAAAACTGGGGGAAAATTGGGGAAAAATGGGGGGAAATAGGGAAAAATTGGGGAAAAGTCAGGGAAATGGGGAAAAATGGGTGGAAAACTTGGGGGAAATTAGGGGGGAAATGGGGAAAATTGAGAAAAATGGGTGGGAAAGTTGGGGGGAAATGGGGGAAAATGGGGAAAATTTGGTGGAAATCAGGGAAAATTGGGAAAAATGAGGAAGGGAAGGGATGAGAATGGGTAAAATTTGGACTAAATGGAGGGAATGGGGGAAAATGGGGAAAAAGGGGCTGGGAATGGGGAATGTTGGGGGGAGGGGGAAATGGGATGGGAAAGGGAAACATGGGGCAAGAATGTGAAAAATTGGGGGAAATGGGAAAAAATAGGAGAAAAATGAGGAAAAGTGGGGCAGGAATGGGGGAAATGAGGAAAAATTGGGGAGAATTGCAGGAAAAAGGGAAAGGGAGGGGGAAAATGGGGCAAGAATTGGGGGGCAGGAAACTGCAAAAAGAGGAGAAAAAGGGGAAAAATTTGGGGCTGTCTGTGCCCCCCCAGTTTATGGGGTTCTGAACTTCTCCCCAGTTTGGGGGTTTGATGAGTTTCTCACCCTATTTTTGGGGTCCTGGTGTTTTTTCCCCCATTTTTGGGGTTCTGACACATCCCCCACCATTTTTGGGGTTCCTGACACGTCCATTCCATATTTTTACATTCCTGACGAGCCGCTCCTCAGTTTTGGGTTCCTGACCGGTTTCTCTCTCCCCCCACATGGATTTTGGGGTCCCTGCTGTGTCTCCCCCTCATTTTTGGGGTTCTCTCCCCATTTTTGAGGTCCCTGATCTTTCTTTCCCCATTTTTAGGGTTCTCTCCTCATGTTTGGGGTTCTCTCCCAAATTTTAGGTTCCCTCCCTATTTTGAGGCATTCTCTTTGATTTTTTTTAGTTGTCTATCTAAGTTTTGGGGTTTTGTCTCTCCCCATCTTTGGCATTCTGTCCCCATTTTTAGGTGTCTCTCCCATTTTTTGGGTTCTCCATTTTTAGGGTGCTGTCCCCATTTTTGAGGTTCTTGTCCATTTTGGGGTTCTCTTCCCTTTTTTGGGTTCTCCATTTATGGCGTTTTCTCCCCATTTTTTATGTTACTTCCCCTTTGTTTGGATTCTCCATTTTGGGGTTCCCTCCCCATTTTTGGAGTTTCTACCCGTTTTTTTTGGGTTCTCCATATTTGGGGTTTTGTGCCCCATTTTTGGGGTTCTGTGTCTCCCCATTTTTAGGTTTCTCTCCCCTTTTTTGGGGTTCTCCGTTTTTGGGGTTCTCCCTGTTTTTGGGGTTCTCTCCCCATTTTTGGGGTCGCTGACTCTGCTCTCCCCCCCAGCCCTGCAGCTGCCCCTGGTGAGCGAGGGGGGCCGGGGGGGGCCCCCCGAGAGCCCCCAGCCCGCGCCCCCCCCCCGGCCCCGGCAGATGCTGGGGCTGCCCCCGCCCCCCTTCCTGGTGCCGCGCAGCCTGGAGAGGTGAGGACCCGCCCCCGAGCCCTGATTGGCTGATGGGGGAGAGCCTGGGTGCTGATTGGCTGATGGGGGAGGCCCTGGGTACTGATTGGCTGACTGGGGAAAGGCTGGGTGCTGATTGGCTGGTGTGGGAGAGCCTAGGAGCTGATTGGCCAATGGGGAGAGCCTGGGTACTGATTGGCTGACTGGGGAAAGGCTGGGTGCTGATTGGCTGATGTGGGAGAGCCTAGGAGCTGATTGGCCAATGGGGGAGAGCCTGGGTGCTGATTGGCTGATGCGTGAGGACTTGGGAGCTGATTGGCTGATGGGGGAGGCCCTGGGTGCTGATTGGCTTATGCAGGAGAGCCTGGGTGCTGTTTGGCCAATGGGGGAGGCCCTGGGTGCTCATTGGCTAATGTGGGAGAGCCTGGGAGCTGATTGGCCAGAAGGGCTGGGGGATCCTGTGCCCTGATTGGCCTGAGGTTTGGGGAGATCTTGTGCCCTGATTGGTTAGAGGTTTGGGGAGATCCTGTGCTCTGATTGGCTTGAGGTTTGGAGAGATCCTGTGCCCTGATTGGTTAGAAGTTTCGGGAGATCCTGTGCCCTGATTGGTTAGAGGTTTGGGGAGATCCTGTGCTCTGATTGGCCTGAGGTTCATGAGAATCAAAGCTTGATTGAATGGACATCCGGGGGAATCCTGTGCCCTGATTGGCCAGCAGCCTGGAGGGATCCCAGGCTCACATTGGCCAGAGGAGGGTTGCACATCCTGATTGGCTAGAGCTCTGTAGAGACTCTGTCCTATGATTGGCCACTGTTATGGAGAGATCCTGTCCTCTGATTGGCCCACAGAGGGTCACATGCTCTTATTGGCTAGGGGAACATCATGTGACGTGGTTGACCAGAGGCTTTGGGGGGGTTCCTGTGCTCTGATTGGCTAGAGATTCTGAGAGATCCTGTGCCCTGATTGGCCAGAGCTCGGTCAGGATTCCGTGCTGTGATTGGGTAGAACTCCAGGGAGATAACGTGAGTTGATTGGCCAAGGAGGAGGCTTGTGCTGATTGGCTGGATGGACAGAAGTCTGCAGGTAGTGATTGGTCAGAGTTTCCAGGAAGATCTTGCGCTCTGATTGGCCGGAGATTCAGTGGTACCGTGTGTTCTGATTGGCTGGGCAGGAGGGTTTGCGCAGCGGTTGGTCAGGTGTTCAGAGCCTGCGGTGCTGATTGGCTGCTGCTCTGAGGGCTTGTAGGCCCTGATTGGCCAGAGTTCGGGGAGTGGTGTGTTCTCATTGGCCAGGAATGAGACCACTCTCTTTGGGGTGATCTTGAGCAGTGATTGGCTGGAGCAGAGCTTGCAGCTGCTGATTGGTGGATGGTTCAGAGGATGCCAGTTGCTGATTGGCCTGGTGGGCAGGAGAACTGTGTGCTCATTGGCCAGCAGTGTGAGAGGCTCCTGGGTGCTGATTGGCCAGGCAGGCAGGATTTCCTGTCCTGCAATTGGCCAGAGCTGTGATTCCCTGTGTGCTCGTTGGCCACGATCTCCCTATGCCCTGACCTGATTGGCCAGGCTCTTCTGTGATTGATTGGGCTTTGTCCTGAGTTGATTGGCCAGTGTTTCTCCCAGTGCCCTGAGCTGATTGGCTGAGCTCTCCCATTGCTCTGAGCTGATTGGCCAGGCTCTCCTTGTGCTTTGAGCTGATTGGCTGAACTCTCCCGTTGCCCCTATAGCATTGAGATCGACCAGAAGCTGCAGGAGATCATGAAACAGACGGGGTACCTGACCGTGGGGGGACAGGTGAGTCAGGGGGTACCTGACCATGGGACAGGTGAGTCAGGGGTACCTGGCCGTGGGGGGGGGGGTGGGGGGGCAGGTGGGTGAGGGGGTACCTGACCGTCGGACAGGTGAGTCAGGGGGTACCTGACCGTGGGAGGGACAGGTGAGTCAGGGGGTACGTGGCTGGGGGGGGACAGGTGAGGATGGGGGTTACCTGGCTAGATGAGGACAGGTGAGAAGGAGGGGGGTGACACGTGAGGATGGGGGGCACACGTGGGCATGCTGAGGGGCCCAGGTGAGGGTTACCCGACTGTGGGGGGTTACCTGGCTCTGGGGGGCACAGCTGAGGATTGGGGGGGTTTTACCTGGCCGTGGGGGCCCAGGTGAGCCCGGGGCTGTCCCAGGTGGACCCTGACCCCCCCTCCCCCCAGCGGTACCAGGCGGAGATCAACGACCTGGAGAACCTGGGCGAGATCGGCAGCGGCACCTGCGGGCAGGTGTGGAAGATGCGCTTCCGCAAGACCGGCCACGTCATCGCCGTCAAGGTGGGCACCGGGCCGGGGACACCGGGGAGCCCAGTGACACCGGTGACACCTGAAACTGCCAGTGACCCCAGTGACACCTGTGACACCTGTGACACCTGAAACTGCCAGTGACACTGGTGACACCTGTGATACCTTTAACTGCCAGTGACCCCAGTGACACCTGGGGACACCAGTGACACCTGGTGACACCTGTAACTGCCAGTGACCCCAGTGACACCGGTGACACCTGTGACACCGGTGACACCTGAAACTGCCAGTGACCCCAGTGACACCTGTGACACCTGTGACACCTGAAACTGCCAGTGACACTGGTGACACCTGTGATACCTTTAACTGCCAGTGACCCCAGTGACACCTGGGGACACCAGTGACACCTGGTGACACCTGTAACTGCCAGTGACCCCAGTGACACCGGTGACATTTGTGACACCTGTGACCCCCGGTGACACCTGTGACCCCTGGTGACACCTGTGACCCCCAGTGACACCTGTAACTGCCTGTGATACCTGTGACATCTGTGACACCTGTAACCCCCGTGACTCCTGTGACACTTGTGCCTCCCAGTGACACCTGTGACAACTGGTGACACCTGTGATCCCCGGTGACACCTAAGACCACCCAGTGACAGCTGTGGGACTTGTGACCCCCCCCCATGACACCCATGACCCCTGGTGACACCTGTGCCCCCCGGTGACACCCATGCCCCCCGGTGACACCCGTGCCCCCCCATGTGACACCTGTGTCCCCTCCCCAGCAAATGCGGCGCTCGGGGAACCGCGAGGAGAACAAGCGCATCCTGATGGACCTGGACGTGGTGCTCAAGAGCCACGACTGCCCCTACATCGTGCAGTGCTTCGGCACCTTCATCACCAACGTGAGCACCTGGGGGGCCTGGGCACCTGGTGGGGCACCTGGGGGCACCTGAGAGAACCTGGGGGCACCAGGGGGGGCACCTGAGAGCATCTGGGGTCATGGGTACCCGTACATCGTGCAGTGCTTCGGCACCTTCATCACCAATGTGAGCACCTGGGGGCACCTGGGCACCTGGGGGGGCACCTGGGCACCTGGGGTAGCACCTGAGAGCACATGATGGGGCACCTGCGGGGCACCTGTGGTCATGGGTACCCGTACATCATGCAGTGCTTCGGCACCTTCATCACCAACGTGAGCACCTGGGGGGCCTGGGCACCTGGTGGGGCACCTGGGGGCACCTGAGAGAACCTGGGGGCACCAGGGGGGGCACCTGAGAGCATCTGGGGTCATGGGTACCCGTACATCGTGCAGTGCTTCGGCACCTTCATCACCAACGTGAGCACCTGGGGGCACCTGGGCACCTGGGGGCACCTGAGAGAACCTGGGGGCACTGGGGGGGCACCTGAGAGCCCCTAGGGTCATGGGTACCCGTACATCATGCAGTGCTTCGGCACCTTCATCACCAACGTGAGCACCTGGGGGGCACCCGGGCACACCTGGAGGGTTGGGGGTGTCTGGATCCATCCACAGCCCCTCCCAGTGCCCCCAGTAAATCCCAGTGCCCTCCCAGTGCTCTCTCAGTACATCCCAGTGCTCCCAGTGTTCCCAGTGCCCTCCCAGCCCTGCCAGTGCTCCCAGTCCACCCAGTGTCCCCAGTGCTCCTGGTGCTCTCCCAGTGCCCCTGGTCCATCCCAGTGCCCTCCCAGTGCCCTTCTAGTACATCCAGTGCTCCCAGTACACCCAGTGCCCCTCCAGTGCCCCCAGTAAATCCCAGTGCCCTCCCAGTGCCCCCGGTCCATCCAGGGCCCTCCCAGTACACCCAGTCCTCTCAGTCCATCCCAGTACACCCAGTGCCCCCCAGTGCCCCCAGCAGAGCCTCTCTCCCCCAGACCGACGTGTTCATCGCCATGGAGCTCATGGGCACCTGCGCCGAGAAGCTCAAGAAGCGAATCCAGGGCCCCATCCCCGAGCGCATCCTGGGCAAGATGACGGTGGCAGTGAGTGACAGCGGGGACAGCGGGGGTGGTAGAGACACTGGGGACATGCAGGGTGGCTCTGGCATCCTAGACAAGGTGATGGTGGCAGTGAGTGACAGTGGGGACACTGGGGGATATTGTGGACAGTGGGGAGGGCCCTCCCAGTTCCCCCAGTCGTCTCAGTCCATCCCAGTACACCAGTGGCCCCCAGTGCCCCCCAGTGAACCCAGTGCCCTCCCAATGCCCCCCAGTGCCTCCCAATGCCCCCCAGTGCCCCCCAGTGCCCCCTCAGTGCCCCCAGCAGAGCCTCTCTCCCCCAGACCGACGTGTTCATCGCCATGGAGCTCATGGGCACCTGCGCCGAGAAGCTCAAGAAGCGAATCCAGGGCCCCATCCCCGAGCGCATCCTGGGCAAGATGACGGTGGCAGTGAGTGACAGCGGGGACAGCGGGGCGGTAGGGACACTGGGGACACGCAGGGTGGCTCTGGCATCCTAGACAAGGTGATGGTGGCAGTGAGTGACAGCGGGGGTGGTAGAGACACTGGGGACATGCAGGGTGGCTCTGGCATCCTAGACAAGGTGATGGTGGCAGTGAGTGACAGTGGGGACACTGGGGGATATTGTGGACAGTGGGGGCATTGTGGACATTGGGGACACTGGGGGCAGTGGGGATATTGAGGACAACAGGGACACCGGGGACACTGGGGACAACCGGGGACATTGAGGACACGTAGGGTAGCTCTGGGATTCTGGGCAAGGTGACAGTGGCAGTGAGGGGACACTGGGGACAGGCAGGGGGGTCCCTCCATCCTGGGCAAGATGGTGATGGTGAGGGACACTGGGGACAGGCAGGGGGTCCCCAGGACCCAGCGCCCCCTTCCCGAGTGGGCAGGGTGACAGTGACAGCGAGCAGGGTGATGGTGGCACAGAGGTGACACCTGGGCAGTGTCACTGCTGTCCCCACAGACGGTGAAGGCGCTGCTGCACCTGCAGGAGAAGCACGGCGTGACCCGCAGGGGGACAGGGGTGTCCTGGGCGGGGTGGCAGCGGCAGTGGGCAGCGTGGGTGACACAGAGGTGACACAGAGATGACATAAAGGTGACACGGGACTGTTCTGCAGATGGTGAAGGTGCTGCTGTACCTGCAGGAGAAGCACGGGGTGACCCACAGGGGACACTGGGGACAATCAGGGTGTCTCTGGGGTCTGGGCAGGGTGATGGTGGCACAGAGGTGGCACAGAGGTGACACTGGGGACAACGGCTGTCCTGCAGATCGTGAAGGCGCTGCTGTACCTGAAGGAGAAGCACGGCGTGATCCACAGGGACGTCAAACCCTCCAACATCCTGCTGGACGAGCGGGGCCAGGTCAAGCTCTGCGACTTCGGCATCAGCGGCCGCCTGGTGGACTCCAAGGCCAAGACCCGGAGTGCGGGGTGTGCGGCCTACATGGCGGTGAGGGGATATGGGGACACTGGGGACATCCCCAGAGCGCGGGGTGTGCGGCCTGCATGGCGGTGAGGGGACATGGGGACACTGGGGACATCCCCAGAGCGCGGGGTGTGCGGCCTACATGGCGGTGAGGGGACATGGGGACACTGGGGACATCCCCAGAGCGGAGGGTGTGCGGCCTACATGGCGGTGAGGGGATATGGGGATTCATCGCCATGGAGCTCATGGGCACCTGCGCCGAGAAGCTCAAGAAGCGAATCCAGGGCCCCATCCCCGAGCGCATCCTGGGCAAGATGACGGTGGCAGTGAGTGACAGCGGGGACAGCGGGGGTGGTAGAGACACTGGGGACATGCAGGGTGGCTCTGGCATCCTAGACAAGGTGATGGTGGCAGTGAGTGACAGTGGGGACACTGGGGGATATTGTGGACAGTGGGGGCATTGTGGACATTGGGGACACTGGGGGCAGTGGGGATATTGAGGACAACAGGGACACCGGGGACACTGGGGACAACCGGGGACATTGAGGACACGTAGGGTAGCTCTGGGATTCTGGGCAAGGTGACAGTGGCAGTGAGGGGACACTGGGGACAGGCAGGGGGGTCCCTCCATCCTGGGCAAGATGGTGATGGTGAGGGACACTGGGGACAGGCAGGGGGTCCCCAGGACCCAGAGCCCCCTTCCCGAGTGGGCAGGGTGACAGTGACAGCGAGCAGGGTGATGGTGGCACAGAGGTGACACCTGGGCAGTGTCACTGCTGTCCCCACAGACGGTGAAGGCGCTGCTGCACCTGCAGGAGAAGCACGGCGTGACCCGCAGGGGGACAGGGGTGTCCTGGGCGGGGTGGCAGCGGCAGTGGGCAGCGTGGGTGACACAGAGGTGACACAGAGATGACATAAAGGTGACACGGGACTGTTCTGCAGATGGTGAAGGTGCTGCTGTACCTGCAGGAGAAGCACGGGGTGACCCACAGGGAACACTGGGGACAATCAGGGTGTCTCTGGGGTCTGGGCAGGGTGATGGTGGCACAGAGGTGGCACAGAGGTGACACTGGGGACAACGGCTGTCCTGCAGATCGTGAAGGCGCTGCTGTACCTGAAGGAGAAGCACGGGGTGATCCACAGGGACGTCAAACCCTCCAACATCCTGCTGGACGAGCGGGGCCAGGTCAAGCTCTGCGACTTCGGCATCAGCGGCCGCCTGGTGGACTCCAAGGCCAAGACCCGGAGCGCGGGGTGTGCGGCCTACATGGCGGTGAGGGGACATGGGGACACTGGGGACATCCCCAGAGCGCGGGGTGTGCGGCCTACATGGCGGTGAGGGGACATGGGGGCATTGGGGGGGGACACTGGGGACATCGGGGACATCCTCCAGAGAGCGAGGTGTGTGGCCTCTATGGTGGTGAGGGACTTTGGGAGCATCAGGGACAATGGGGACACTGGAGGGACATTGGGGACACTGGGGACACCGGGGACATTGGGACATTGGGACTCTGGGGGGACACTGGGGACATGCCCCAGCCCCACAGTGAGCCTTTGGGGGGGATCAGGGGGTGTTGGGTCCCCAGGACTGGGGGGAGGGGGCTGCACCCAGGTCTGGGATGGGGCTGTTGGGGGGTCCCCCAGGTTTGGGGGTGTTGGGGATCCCCTCGGGTTTGGGCCCACCACCGCCCCTCCCCCAGCCCGAGCGCATCGACCCCCCCGACCCCACCAAGCCCGACTACGACATCCGCGCCGACGTCTGGAGCCTCGGCATCTCCCTGGTGAGCCCAGCGTCACCCGGGGTCCCCAGCGTCACCCGGGGTCCCCACAGCGTTCCCAGGGTCCCTGAATGTCACCCAGGGTCCCCAAATATCACACCAGGGTCCACAGCATCTCTGAATGTCACCCAGGGTTTGGCTGTTGGGGGGTCCCCCAGGTTTGGGGGTGTTGGGGATCCCCTCGGGTTTGGGGGATCCCCCCAGGTCTGGGGTTCTGGGTGTTTGGGGGTGCCCAGATTTGGGGTTTGGGGGTTCCCAGGTTTGAGGTTTCAGGCGTTCCCAGCTTTGGGGTTTGCCGACCCCACCAAGCCCGACTACGACATCCGCGCCGACGTCTGGAGCCTCGGCATCTCCCTGGTGAGCCCAGCGTCACCCGGGGTCCCCAGCGTCACCCGGGGTCCCCACAGCGTTCCCAGGGTCTCTGAATGTCACCCAGGGTCCCCAAATATCACACCAGGGTCCACAGCATCTCTGAATGTCACCCAGGGTTTCCAAAGTGTCCCCAAAAGTCACCCAGGGTCCCCAGCGTCCCTGAATGTCACCCCAGGGTCCCCAAATGTCACCCCAGGGTCCCCAGCCCCGAATGTCACCCCAGGGTCCCCAAACATCACCCAGCTGTCCCCAGAGCATCCCAAACCTACCCAGCTGTCCCCAAAGTGTCCCCGACCCCCCACAGTGTCCCCAGGCTGGCCCCGACCGCCTCCAGGTCCCCAGCGTGTCCCCACAGTGCCACCTCAGCCCTGTAGTGCCACATCCCCTACCGACACCTGTCACCTGTGTGTGTCACAGCTGTCACAGCTGTCCCTGTCACTTGTCCCTGTCACACCTGTGTCATACCTGTCACAGCTGTTTCACCTGTCCCTGTCACATCTGTCCCTGTGTCATCTGTGTCACACATGTGTCCCCAGGTGGAGCTGGCCACGGGGCAGTTCCCGTACCAGAACTGCTGTCCCTGTGTGTCACACCTGTGTCACACGTGTGTCCCCAGGTGGAGCTGGCCACGGGGCAGTTCCCGTACCAGAACTGCTGTCCCTGTGTGTCACACCTGTGTCACACGTGTGTCCCCAGGTGGAGCTGGCCACGGGGCAGTTCCCGTACCAGAACTGCTGTCCCTGTGTGTCACACCTGTGTCACACGTGTGTCCCCAGGTGGAGCTGGCCACGGGGCAGTTCCCGTACCAGAACTGCTGTCCCTGTGTGTCACACCTGTGTCACACGTGTGTCCCCAGGTGGAGCTGGCCACGGGGCAGTTCCCGTACCAGAACTGCTGTCCCTGTGTGTCACACCTGTGTCACACGTGTGTCCCCAGGTGGAGCTGGCCACGGGGCAGTTCCCGTACCAGAACTGCAAGACGGATTTCGAGGTGCTGACCAAGGTGCTGCAGGAGGACCCGCCCCTGCTGCCCCCGGCCATGGGCTTCTCCGGGGACTTCCAGGCCTTCGTCCGAGACTGGTGGGGACACGGGGGACATGGGAGGGACATGGGGACATGGGGGATACCATGGGGACACAGCGACGTGGGAGGGACATGGGGGACATGGGGACATGGGAGGGACATGGGGAAACACGGGGACATGGGGGACACAGTGGGGACATGGGGGACACCACGGGGACACAGGGGACATGGGGACATAGGGGGACACAGGGGACATGGGGACATGGGGGACATGGGGACACACAGGGACATGGGGACATTGGGGACATAGGGGATACCATGGGGACACAGGGCACATGGGAGACACGACACGTGGGGACATACAGGGGACATGGGGACACACTGGGGGCATGAGGGGACACAGGGGACATGGGAACATGGGGTACGCCATGGGGACACGTGGGGACACACAGGGGACATGGGGGGAACACAGCCCCAGGGGTCCCCAAGGTGCCACCCCCCCTTCTCTGGGGAGCTCCAGGCCTTTGTCTGGGACTGGGGGGGACACAGGGGACAGGGGGAGACATGGGGGGACAGGAGAGGGACAGGGGGGACATGGTGGGGACACGGGACAGGGGAGGACATGGGGATGTGGCCCGAGGGTCCCAAAGATGGTCACCCCCCCCCATCCCCTCCCCCAGCCTCACCAAGGACCACAGGAAGAGACCAAAGTACAACAAGTTACTGGTGAGTGGCACCTGGCACTGTCACACCTGGCATTGTCACACCTGGCACCTGTCACTGTCAGCTGTCATTGTCATTGTCACACCTGTCAGTGTCACACCTGCCACCTGTCCCATCACATCTGTCTCTTCCCCTGTCCCCTGTCACTCATGTCCCTGGGGACACCTCCCTGTCACAGCTGTCACCACAGCCACGGCCACCCCTTCCCTGTCCCCTGTGTCCCCAAGGGCTGTGGGTGTCACCTCTGGGGGCACGTGCACCGTGCCACCATCCCTGGGGGTCCCCAAGTCCCTGTCACCTCCCCTACGTGTCTGCAGCTGTGTCCCCGTGTCCCTGTGTCTGTGTCCCCAAGGCCACATCTGTGTCCTGTGTCCCTGTCCCCACCTTGTCCCCAAACCCTCACCCTCGGTGCTCCATCCCCGTGTCCCCGAGCTTTGTCCTCCATGTCCACTGCAGTCCCCTTGTCCTCGTATTCCCCAGCGTCCCTGCTGTCCTCAATGTCTCCAATGTCCCCTGTCCCCATTGCCCCTAATGTCCCCATGTCCCTGCTGTCCCCGATGTCCCAATGTCCTTGCTGTCCCAGCTGTCCCCAATGTCCCTGACATCCACTGCTGTCCTCCATGTCCCCCGCTGTCCCTGCTGTCCCCATTGCCCCTAATGTCCCCATGTCCCTGCTGTCCCATTGCCCCTAATGTCCCTGCTGTCCCCAGTGTCCCCATGTCCCTGCTGTCCCCGTTGTCCCCATGTCCCTGCTGTCCCCATTGCCCCTAATGTCCCCGATGTCCCTGCTGTCCCCGATGTCCCCATGTCCCCTGTCCCCACAGGAGCACACCTTCATCAAGCGCTACGAGACGCTCGAGGTGGACGTGGCCACCTGGTTCAAGGACGTGATGGCCCGCACAGAGTCCCCGCGCCCGGGGGGTGGCCTGGGCCACCACCTGCCCTTCTTCACCAGGTAGCGCCCGCCCGGCGCCGCCATGCCCGGCAGGGGACACCGGGGACAGCCGGGACACCCCGGGGACAGCCGGGCCACCTCCGGGACAGGGACAGCGGGGACAGCCCTGGCACGCTGCCTGGTGCCACCACGCCCGGCAGGGGACACCGGAGACAGCCGGGACATCCCCTGTGACACCAGGGACAGCAGGGACACCTCGGGGACAACCAGGACAGCCCTGGGGCACCACCCAGCACAGGGACAGCTGGGCCACCCCCTGTGACAGGGACGCCTGTGACACCCACTGGGGGCGGTGACACCTCTGCCACCTCCCCACAACTCGTCCCTGTGGCACCCGCTGTGCCACCCCCCTGTGGCACCCAGTGTGATGGTGACACTGCCACGGCCACCGCAGCCCCGGCCTGGCCTGGAGTGTCCCCAGCGTGTCCCAGCGTGTCCCTGCCGTCCCAGCTGTCCCCTCCCACTGTCCCCATCTTGCCAAGGCCAGGGGACACTCCTGTCCCCTCTGTGTCCCCCTGGCCATGCCTCAGTTTCCCACAGGGTCCCATGTGGGGACAGGGCTGGGGACAGGACGGGGAGGTGGCACCGAGGGTGTGACACTCCGGGATGTGACACTCAGAGGTGACACTCTGGGAGGTGGCCCAGGGACATGGGCATGGCTGGGGGATGTGACACAGGGGTGACGCCGGGGCCTGGGGATGTGACACTCGGCCCCGAGGGGACATTGAGGGGACACGGAGGTGGCACCAGGACGTGGGGACATGACACGAAGACGGCACTCGGGGACACAGAGATGGCACAGGAACGTGGCACGGGGGACAGGGGACAGCGTGGAGAGCCAGCACGGGAATGTGACAGCGAGGGGACATAGAAGGATGGCACAGAAATGGCACCGGAACTCCCCGATGTCCCTGCTGTCGGATGTGACACGAGGATTGCACCAGGATGTGACACGGGGATGGCACTGGAACGTGACACAGGGATGGCACCAGGATGTGACACAGGGATGGCACTGGAACGTGACACAGGGATGGCACCAGGATGTGACATGGGGATGGCACCAGGATGTGACACGAGGATTGCACCAGGATGTGACACGGGGATGGCACCGGAACGTGACACAGGGACACAGGACGGAGATGGCACCGGGATGGCACAGGACGGAGGTGGCACCAGGAAGTGACACAGGGATGGCACAGGGATGTGACACAGAACAGAGATGGCACCGGGATGGCACAGGACGGAGGTGGCACCAGGAAGTGACACAGGGATGGCACCAGGATGTGACACGGGGATGGCACCAGAATGTGACACGGGGATGGCATTGGAACGTGAGACGGGGACACAGGACGGAGATGGCACCGGGATGGCACAGGACGGAGGTGGCACCAGGAAGTGACACAGGGACACCGGGATGTGACACAGGGCAGAGATGGCACCAGAATGTGGCACAGGGATGGCATCAGAAAGTGACACAGGGACAGAGGTGGCACCGGGAAGTGACACAGAACAGAGATGTCCCAAGGCTGTGACATGGGAATGGCACAGGACAGAGATGTCCCAAGGCTGTGACAATGGGGACATGGCGCTGAAGGACACGGAGTGGTGGCCCGGGGACACGGGCACGTCATGGGTGTGACATCACAGGGCCCAGTCCCGGGGATGTGACACCAGGGAAGTGACACCGGCATGTGACACCAAGGATGTGACACCAAGGATATGGCACTGGGGACACGGCCCGGGGATGTGACACCAAGGATGTTACACCAGGGAAGTGACACCGGGATGTGACACCAAGGATGTGACACCAAGGATATGGCACTGGGGACGCAGCCTGGGGATGTGATGTGACACCGTGATGTGACACCAGGGAAGTGACACCGTGATGTGACACCAGGGAAGTGACACCGGGATGTGACACCAAGGATGTGACACCAAGGATATGGCACTGGGGACGCAGCCCGGGGATGTGACACCAAGGATGTGACACTTGTCTGTGACACCGGGGACACGGCCCGGGGATGTGACACCGCGATGTGACACTGGGGACAAGGCCCGGGGTGGCCCCGTCTGCCGGGGCCGCGGTGGCACGGTGACAATCAGGGCCGGGCCGTGTCCCCGCCGTGTCCCCGCTGTCCCCCAGGCCAGCAGGTGCAGTTTTAGTGCATTGGGGGCGCGGGCGGTGCCACCCCCCGTCACCCTCATTAATTATTATTATTAATTATTATTATTATAAATGCGCATGTGGAACCTGAGGGGCTGCGTCGGCGTCAGGCTCTGGGGACACTGGGGGACACTGGGGACATTGGGATGGACATGGGAGAGTGGGGACATGGGAAAATATGGGGGACATTGGGACTGGGAAATGGGGACACTGGGGACACTGGGACTGGGACACTGGGACTGGGAATTGGGGACATTGGGGACAATGGGATGGGGACACTGGGACTGTGGGAATTGGGGACATTGGGGACACTGGGACTGTGGACATTGGGGACATTGGGACAGGGAGGGGAGACACTGGGGGACATTAGGAAATGGGGACATGGGGATGGGGACATGGGGAAGTACAGGGGGACATTGGGGACACTGGGACATTGGGAAGGAGGGGATGGGGACAGTGAGGACAGGGATGGGAAAGTGGAGGGTGGGGACACTGGGGACATGAGAGATGGGACCTTGGGGACAGGGTGACATTGGGATGGGGACGGGGGGACAGGGACACGGATGGGGGATGGCACAGGTGGACCTTGGGGACATCGGGATGGGGACAGGGACGGGAAGGTGGAGGGTGGGGACATCGAGATGGGGACTTCGGTACTGGGGACAGCAGAGGGACACGAATGACACTGGGGACACAGGAGGGGATGGCACAGGGGACACCAGTGACACGGGGGGGACACGGGCACAGGAGGGGGGCAGAGGCCCCGGCAGCAGAGGGACACGAATGACACTGGGGACACAGGAGGGGATGGCACAGGGGACACCAGTGACACGGGGGGGACACGGGCACAGGAGGGGGGCAGAGGCCCCGGGGGTTTTCAAA